AAATAACATATATTTGGTACCTATACCTACAGTATATTATTATTTTATACTATTCTTTGTTGGGTTTTTCAAGCAATAAATTTGAAAAATAAGATAAATATAATATATAAATAAATAATTTCCAACAAAAGTAGATCATAAGCAATAATATACGTAAAACATGTTTTTGAATAACTACCTAATTATAATTTTTACAATTTTTTATTGTTTAAAATGTATTATATTAATTTATAATGAATGGGGGCTTTCTTCCAAGCCTTCTTTTCAATACTTATAAAAACATTTTTTTTAAGATGCCAATAACTGTATTTTTCACTGGGGCTTTTTTTTCCTTTATCGGGGCTTTTTTTCCTTATGTGGTTTTTGGTTAAGGCATTTTTTTCCCAGGGCTTTTTCATTTCCCAATAATAGTTATCAAAGTGGGTAGAAATCAATTATTCACGTTTTAAGCAAGCGAAACGATCGGGAAATTTTGAATGATCTATTTATAATCTGTAATATTGCTATTTATGGTCATATACTTTTATAAGTATGATTAAAGTAAGAATTTCGCTCCCCCCCTGGAAGATGAGTTTATTATGACACTGCGCACCAATCAGTAATATTAGCTTTTATTTTATTAGTTAATAATATAAGCAAATGAACGAACTGAGGAATGTATTGGTTTTACAATTATGTTTATTTTTTTTTTATATGGGGGAAACACGCAGGAAAACTGGAAAATTTACGAAATGTATTATTTTAAATTTTGTTTTTTGTTTTGATTCAGTTAAAAATATTTGTACAGACTTGAAATTTGGACAGAAAACTCATATTTGCCTTTTATATACGTTGTTAAATTTTCAAAACATTAGCCTTTTTTGAGCTATTTATAGGTATTTTAATTTTGCGAGTTTTTCACGTAATTTTTTTTCATTAGGTACTCTGTGGATAATATTATTAGACCAAACAGAAATTCTAAAAAATTTAACAGGTTTATTATAAGGTGTTTGTTGTGATAAAAAAAAAAATGAAAAAATAAATTACAAAAGGAAAAGAAAAATATGAAAAGTAGTTTAAATTTCAAGTTTCTACGAATATTTTAAAATAAATTACAATAACAAATTAAAATTGCAGATAAACCATTAATGTACGGAACATTTACCGTTCTTTCTACGTCAACGTCTTTTTCTGATTTTTCTCAATTATTATTTAAAACTGCTCGAAAAATTAAAAATGATTTACTTAATCACCAAGAAGATTCAAGATTCGATAAAAAAGATTTCATGTTATTTTTTAATTGAAACAAGATTTATGGTAGAAAACTTAAAGCGTACAAATTTAAAATGATAAAATCAATTGTGCCGTAAATTTTTTCTATGATTTTGTTTCCGGTGTTTGCCTAATTATTTTGAGGACCCCATAGAAAATTAAAAAAATTAGCTCTTTAATCCACCAACTAGATCTAAAATGTAACAAAAAAGATCTTTCATCATATTTCGATTGAAGCAATTTATCTGTTCGAATAGCTTTTACAGATAGAAATAAAAAAACCACAAATCACAGAAAAACCAATAAAAATACACATTATAGTAATACCAATAGTTACATTGCTTTGCTTCGAATCTAAAACATAGCATTACTAAATTTATAAAACATTTATTATAAATTATTGAATTTATTCATTTTCTCGTAAAATCACTTTTATATTTATCCCACTAAAAAAAAAAAAAAAACGAACAAGTTTAAAAATGTGTAAAATATATTTAGCATCAAATTATAATATATATTTATATAATTGTAATTGTTGTATCTTTCTAGATCAATTTCTTAAATAATACCATTTACTATTATGAACAATTATTATTTTTATATAATACAATCTTTCAAATGTATAAATGGCTTTACATTAATTCATACAAAATTGTTTACTCAATATTAATATTTTATAACAAAAAATGTTACTTACTAACTACTACTATTAAATCTTTTTGATCCAAGTAATATTTTACTCAAGTTTTAAGGCTATTTAAATGAAAATAATTTCTTATTTATTAATTTATTAAATAAAATGTATAATACCTAGATTGTTCACATTGCAGGTAACATATATACATTCAGGATGGACTTTAAGTGAATTTGATTTCTATTTTTATTTTTTATTTTTATTTTAGTTGTAATGATGTTGTGGCTTATGGATTCGTTTAATACGCTTTATTTAACACTATTTAACAATTAATACTTCAATACTTAACAATATTTTCTATTTTTTAATGAAGAATCATTAAAATAAAATATTGTATACATATTTATAGGTATATCTACAAAAGTAAAAGAATAAAAAAAGTTGATATAATTTGATAACATCAATATTATTTACGTCTTCTACATTTTTATTTTTCAATATATTTAGTTTTATTTTTTTTTTTTTTGTATAATGTTATCATCAAACTCATCAAAAAATTAAATATAAAAATACAAAAACACAATATACTTTTTTTTTTAATTATTCGTTAAATTAAGTTGAAATGTTAACATACAAATTTATTTTTTGCCTGCATTACTGTATGTAATAAATTATTTGGTATACTATATTTATGTAGAATAAGTACTTTAAATTAAATTTAACTCTGGTCCCTGACAATATAATAGTGTAATTGGGACATGTAGACATGTTTATATCCGAGATATTATATTGTTATACCGCCATAAAATAATACCAGGCGACTGGCACAAAGGCAAATAGCTCAATATTAAACAATATTTCAAACTTACGTAAATCCATTAATATCTAAACTTTAATCCATCTCACCATTAAGTGTCCCAAAAGGCAACTTAAAAGGGTTGTGCCGTTAGCGTGTTTAGATCTATTTCATTAGGTACTGACTTATATTTAAATGAAAATTCGTCATTTTTTTTAGCTTATAAATATTGTTGACATTAAAATAATCTTAAATTAATAATAAAATATTATATTATTACGCTCAAGACTATTTTATAATATAAAACAATTGTATCTGATGATTTTTATATCTTATTATAAAAAATAATAACCTTATTGAATACTTAGATACCGAGTCTGAATGTTACATTTTCATATTGAACGATTACTATAATGTATAGAAATACTTTGTATATTCTTATAATTTATTTTGCTTTTCCTTAGTGTGTTGTAAAAATGTTCATAATATTTATTAAAATGTGACAATTCAAGTATTTGTAGCGTTTTCTTCATTTTATTAAACTTTGTACACAAGTTTTATACATACGAGTAAAATAATATTTATTAAAATTATATACATTTATTTATATATATCTTATTTTTCTTTTTTGGCTTTATTCCAATTGTTTGGGGTCGGCTACTCTCGTCCTAAATTTCCACTTGATCCAATCTCTCACCACACATAAACCGGTTGTCTATATTTTATTCTCAATTGAGTCCAACAACTTTCTTCTCATCCTCTTTCCTTTTACGTTTATTTTCATTGTAATTCTCACTGTTTCAGATTTCTCTCTTTCTATATGACAAAATATGACAAAAGACCTTTTTTGTTACATTTTGAATCTAATTTATAAAAAGGAAAATCATTTGTTTGATTTTTCTTGGAGTTTTCATAATAATTGTGAAAATCGAAAAAAGACTTAAAATGAAATCTAATAAATTTACGGCATTATAATTTCATCATTTTAAATTTGTATGCATGGTATTATTCACCAGAAATATTGCTCCAATAGCCAAATAAGTTTTCTTTTTTGCTGCATTTTTAATCTAGGTAGTGAGTAGGAAAGGAATTTTTTGGTTTTCCCTGTAGTTTTTTAATAATTAAAAAAACCGAAAAATATGTAGATAGAATGGGAAAATTTATGAAAATAATTCTTTTATCATTTTAAATTTTGTTTTTGTAATGTAATTCAGTTGAAAATATTTGTTGTATTTAATACATGTGTGTATGTATTAATACATTTCGTACTTTATTCAGACTCTACAACTAACCTTTAAAAAACTGAAATAAATAATAATATTTATGTTTTTTTATACTGGTTTCAAAAAGTATAATTTATATTTTCAAAGACGTTTTAGTGGCATGATGTCACTTATTTGTATATTTATTTATTCATAGCTAATGGTAGATAAAATTTGTATTATTATGTTATTTATTCATTGCTAATATAAGCCAACCTTACATTTATATTGTGTTTTTTCACAATCACTAATGGCAAATCACTATAATTGTTTTGTATTTATTTGCATGTTTATAATTTAAACGAAATTATACTGATAAAATAACTTTTAATTACAATAGTATTTGAGAAAAGAAAATGTAGAAACCAAGTTCATAAATATGAAAACTGAGATAGTATATAGTATACATATAGGTATCTGGTTAAAAAAAGTTGTTTTCTTAATGTCCCAGTTTAAAACTCGCAGAGAAAACTTTTAAGGAATAGTAAGTGCAATTCATGAAAATACTATTGTTTACATTTTACGGCGTTGATATAATAGACATCACAAGGCCAGTGAATATTAAATTTCCAAAGATTTTTTTTTTAAAACAACTAAAAATCGCTTTATAAACATGCGAGTGTATCATAGATATGAATTTGGTTCTACTATGATGTGTTTGTGTACAACATTTATACGAAAAATTTGGCATTAATCAAAAAATCACAAATGAGTTTTTGTTTTATTTTGTATCTGCTTGGTGCATTAAGGAGATTATTTTTAATTTTGTTTTTAGATTAAGAGCGTAGCGAGGGATCTATAAGTTTTACTGTAATGTGTATTTTTTTATTTTTCGTGTATGCAAATAACTTTATTGCCAGAAATCTTAATCTGATGGATAGAGTGTAACACCTATTCTGAAATTTTTATAGTTGGTACTTGGAGAGGTCAGTTTTTTGATTTTCAAAGCTGTTTTCAAAATAATGTTACGCTACACTTTATGTACTTAGATAGAAAAAAAATAAAAATATTTTAAGTATTAAATACTAAGTGTCGACTAAATTTTCTACAAGTAATTTGCCCATGTTTCAGCTACGATTTAGAGTCATCAGTTACATCGAACATACCATTAAGTGTTAAAATAGAAAACAGGTCTCATTATACTATTATTATTGTATCTTTTGTTTTATTCAAAAATAATCTAAAAATCTAATAAATGAATGAGTATTACTAAAGTGTACACAATATGACTTTCGTACTAGTTTAGAATAAGAATAGCTATTACTATTCAACGCTTTATTATATAATTTTAGAAAATGTTTCGTCTGTATTCTCCAAATATTACGAAATAATATTTCCGTATATAATACGAACTTGATGGACATTACTGCTATAGCAGTAATATGTAAAATGTATTAATACTTATCAATATTGTTGAAGAAGTAATCTTTTCAATGGTATCAAATCATAGAAGACGGTAAACTGCCATATTACGGTAATCCACATTGACAATTTACATAGATTTTGAATATAGGTATAGCATTTGTAATATAATAGTAAACATTATATTACAAGTGTCCGTCAATGTGTTAATTGTTATCACTGTAATATATTAAGCTATACTTTTTTTTTTGTAGTTTTTATTGTATGGTCATTTTATACTTATAAAATACTAAAATATATTATAATATATTTTACAATTGATACTTATGTTGTTGATTAAAAATTTAAAATATAGACGTTGCGTAGTGGCATAAGTCATAACTTGCCATGTTAGTTGTTACATATTATATAATATGATACGTTATTATAATATAGTATATTTAATAACATTATGTCAATAAACAACATTTTGGTAATTCAATATATTTTAAATTATTTCAATATGACGAATAATATTGAATGACGACGCGGTGAAGTGTAGGATATCTGCCTCGATGAATCGTATTTAATAAAACGAAGTACATATTATTATTATTCATCTAAATGAAGACTTAGATCTTAAAACAAGACGTAGTGTAATGTTATTTAACAGAGGAAAATCGATTTGTGTTTCGGAGACGGAAAAAACTAAAAGTTTCCAACAGTAACATTATTGCTTGAATTGCCATTTGAAAATTAATCTTTTGTTGGGTTCTTAATACTCTGCTGCAAGGCAAGTGTATTTAATATTTATTGTAACTTTGCTGAAATGCATTATTATGGCCTATAAATTATAATTATAAGGAATTTTGTTTGTGCAGGAACATTTACATTTTCACCTGTAGTAACTGAAATATTATACTTCTATTAATGTTTTATTAATATTTTGAAATATTTGTAGTATTGGAATTATACATTGGATGTTATATAATAAAGAATGTATTAAACATGTAGGGATCTCTCGAATAATAATTAAATATTAACTACTCTACGAGTATCACTTAACTAATATGTTAGTATATTACAAAACATAATAAAAACCTCAGATGATACATTTATTGAATAAGTATAGGTTTAAAAAATTGTATACAAATTTAAAACATAGAATGGAAGTGTTAGGTACTTATTGAATTAGATTAGTGTTGAATAATTTTAGAAATATGAATAAACTTTAAATATCATTTTTTTTTCCTGAGATACTTCTGTTTGTATATTTATTTTAAGCATTCACAAAATTAATTGCAATGTAATAGAAAAAAAAAAGTTGTTATAGGTTTTTAAATATATAAACACTAGCTACCTAATCAATTAGCCTGTTGATTCGATTATTCGATCATCAATTCGACACGATCGAATAAGTTTATACACTATCATAGCAATCTCGTACTACGTTGCCTCGTTACCGTGAACCAAACTAACTATATAAACATAATCGTGTAACGGTTATACTGTAACATATGTGAATCGGAAAATAAAATAATACAAATAGGTCAGAAGTTTTCTGTGAGTACTCCTTTAGGTCACATATAGTGTATACGCCTGGCCACTGGAAAATTGTAAATCCAATAGTTTATCTAATTGAGCTCTAACTCTTAATATGGTTGGGACTATTCATTTACACAGACTAAAATTTATGGGAATATAAGAACATTCAAAATTATATATAATTAGATATTATAAACATAGATGGAACATGCAGTAGAAATAAAAAGATAAGTTTATAATAATAATTTGGAGTTATCATAAATAAATAATGTTTTTAAATGTTTTATATATTTGTAAGTTAAACAAATTAACTTATTTTGTCTTAATTATAAAGTTTTTAATAATTCAATTGAACTTCTATGCATATTTTTTTCTAATTATTATATTGTCAATGTCAAAAGCATTTTGTTCCCTAATCTAATTAAATAATTATATTTTTGTAAAGTATATGTTAATAACAAATTAATAAATAAATTTATATACATTTTCTTCGCTATTTGTTTTGTGATTGAATGAACAAGTGTATAATAGTACTTGTTACGAGCGCTTCAGTAGATAGTGACATATCAATTGTTATTGGGTCGGTTCAGTAAGATATGGTTGTAGTTAAATTGGCTTGACACGATGGTATACTATCGACTGAAAGTGAGTGATATAGCATCCAGAAAATAAATAATGAAAATAAAATTCTAGTGTTTTGTATTCCCAAAGGAAAAGCGACTCAGGTTTTTCTTGAAATTCGAGAATTCTAACGGTTTTAGTATCGATATTATGCACTGGAACTTCTTACTAAAATAAACATAGCGATTCAATCATTTTGAGTGCTATTTGTTTTAAAAATACATATATCTTATATCATACATAATACCTATTGTATAAATGTGTTACTATTGTTAGAACACGTTGTTTTAAACAGTTAAAATAAAATTGCCACACAAATATACTTAATGATATTTTCCCCAATTGTTTCCTCCTAAAAGCTGTTTTTGTAATACAATAGGAAATTATTCAAAGTTGGAAATAATTGGGTATAATCCACATCATGTATACAAAAGAAAAAATACAATATGATTTTAAACTGACCAATAGCTATAAAAAAAATAACGATTTTTCTTAAGGAACATATTGATTTTGAAAAAAAAAGACAGCAGAATTTTTTGTTTGTAAATATTATTATTAGGAAAACTAAAGGTTGGGACTATAGGATTCGGAAAAAAATAAAACTGGGAATACAACCTATATTATAATCACAAAATATATTTAGTGTAATAAAAAATGATGTTAAAAAAAAAAATACAAATTAAACATTGCATGATAAAATTAATGTTTTAAAAAACAGGAGGTTTTTCAAAGATTTGTTCAATTCTTATTTAATTTTCATCATTTTAGATTCGGAGCGGAGCGAAGGAGTTATAATTTTATTATGATGTGTTTTTTTTCTGTTCGTAAACAACTTTTCGAAAGGAAATCTAGCTCTGATGTATAGAGTATAGCATCTTTTCTGAAAGTAAATTTTCTTTATTTTGTGTATTAGAAAGATCATTTTTTGATTTTGTAAAGGATTTTCAAAATAATTGGGATAACCCCGAAAAAAAAAAAATGATTGGAAAACAGCAAATATTTACGGGTACGCTGTGGTGATACAGTTTTCATTGGTTTTAATTTTTGTTCACGATGTTCGGGAATATCTTTTAACTATTTGGTTATTCAATGTTTAAATATTACTAAGTTAAGTATTGTACAGAATTGTAAAATACTCTGATGACAGTAAATCTACTCGGTTTGTGAATTACCGGTACCTATTACATTTTATACAATTTGTTTTCTAGTATACTCCTCCACTGGTCAAGTAATATGTGGTGTCATGACAACAAACGCTATCACATCCACTAATAGGACGTGGAATAATTTGATTACTATTGACAACTATTCATTATAAAATTGCATTACTTTTGCACATTATAGCGCTTCTGTGAGTTGTATTTGGTAATTATTTTAAGTCATCTGGATTATGATAATAATATTTAGATTAAAATTACTTTAATATGGTAAATAACCCTATAGTTAAAAATATATTAACATGCATCTTATATCATTGTATTCGTCATTCATTGTAGGAAAATATAGGGTCCACATAATATCTTAATTTTGGGGTTGAAAATGAAATAATTTTAACAGACCGAACTAGTTAATTCGTAATTTTTCGACTTTGATATGTGCTCATTTTTAGATTTTAAGTGGAGCGAGAAATTTATTGGTTTTACAATGACGTTTATTATTTTTTTTATCTATGATCAATTTTTTTACCGGAAATTTTATTCTGATTTTCAAGTGTAGTATTTTTTCTGAAAAGAAATTGAACTGGGGTGGTACTTTAAGGTCATATTTTTATTGGGAAATATTAATGGAAAATAGCAGTAAAAACGGGAAAATGTACGAAATGTATAAGGTTTTCAAATCGTATATATTACGGTCTTTTAAAATGTGTATAACCGAACTTCTCTCAGAACAAGTACATAATATTTTCCCTGCACCTTCCTAACTCTTCACTTACAACAGTAGTTCACCCATCGTACGAAGTATGCCAGTTTGTTCTTTTTTGTTGTAAGATTCTGAATATTGAGTGGAATATTTTTGTTTTACTATGTGTGCTTTTTTTAAAATATTTTTTTTCTAGTAATGACATTTTTTTTTTCATAAAAATTGCTCTAATCAAGCAATGACGAGAGCTTTTTTGTAGAATTTTGGATCTAGTTAGAATTAGTAGGTGCATTTATTTAAGGTTATTTTTTAATTTTTCGTTATTTTCATAACAATTATGAAAAACTGGAATGTTTATGAAAATTACGTTCTCGGTTATTTTCGATTTTGTTTTTTTGTTATAATTGAGTTAAAAAAAATCATAAAGTCCTGAAATTCCCAACGAATATTAGTCTTTTCTAGACTTAGTAAAATTAGATTTTGGCGATTTTTAAGCTATTATAGGTATTTGAAATTTGAGATTTTGTTTTAAATTTAATTGGTAGAAATGCGTGAAAAGTTGTTCACAGACATACACACAAATCTAAAAATATTTTTTTTTATCGAATTTCTTATATTGTATATGTAAATTCTTGACTATTATCGATTTGGGTTGCGTTTTTTATTTTTCTTCGAATTACAAATATTTTATTTCGACTATCAAACCAATTGTATGTAAATTTTTGGTATTAATTCAGATAATTTAATCATTATTTCTTCACGTTTTACGCGTACAGATCTCAAGCGTTTGTCAGGAAAAATTCATCAGGTGGAGTACATTTCGCCTTCGTGGCAGTAAGGGTTAGTCGTGTATAGTGGGAGCCTATTTATATACTATTTTGTGTAGTTGTAGGA